TTACAGTTTATATTATTTATACGTTGATATATTGATGTTAAGTGCAGAGACAAAATCTAAAATTAATGAGAAATGAAGTAATAGAATCAAAGGCCTACTGAGTGTCGAATGCGGCTAGATTTATGTCAGTGAATATTGGCAATGATGTGTCAGATAGGTTACCTCTAAAGTACGGAGTTCCTCAGGGTTCGGTCCTTGGTCCTGTCATCTTTACAATGTACACGCAAAGTCTGTCATCAATAATGACCATTACCATCTTTATGCAGACGATACACAGCTGTATGGATTCACTACAACTGACAATGTACACAATCTCATAGACAGAATCGCCAGATGTATCAGTGATATAAGAAAATGGATGTTCAAGAATAAATTAAAATTAAATGAGGATAAGACCGAAATATTATTTCTTCGTAGCAGCGCATGCAATGAAACCGACAATATCAGAATAAACATCAATGGCCACGAAATATCAGCCCAAACTAAAATAAAAGAATTAGGTGTGGTGCTAGATAAAGATATGTCAATGAAATACCATGTATCCAATCTTTGTAAAAATCTATATCTCCAGCTGAAGAAAATAGGGAGCATTAGAAAATATCTATCTGTTAAATTCTGTGTCACCAAAACTTTAATAACATCACTTATATTGTCAAGGATTGATTATTGCAATTCCTTACTGGCTGGTGTACCTGATGAACAGTTACAACAACTACAAAGAGTACAAAATATTGCTGCCAAAATAATTACTAAAAAAACTAAAGCATGATCATGTGACTCCTATTTTAAAAGCATTACACTGGCTCCCAGTGAAAGAGCGTATCATAAAATCTGTTTAACTTGCTACAAGTGCTTAAATGATTTATCACCGGACTATCTAAAACACTTTTAACACCCTATGTGCCTCCTAGAACGCTCAGATCATCAAGCGACAAAACAACCCTTGTTAAGCCTAAAATAAATTACAAATCATATGGCCAACGCTCTTTTTCATATTTTGCCCCACTTGTTTGGAATAGGCTTCCAAAAACTATCAGAGAAGCAGAAAATCTTGAAATTTTTAAGAAGAAACTAAAAGCATTTCTATTTTCATCATGTTTCGATTAGACAGAATCCATCCAAGCTGTAGATCGTTGTGAGTTCGTATGTGTGTATGTGAATATGTACGTATGTGTGTGTGTGTGTATGTATGTGTGTGTGGTGCGTGCGTGAGTGGATATGTGTTTGCACGAGTATGTAACACTGTACCTTTAAAATTGATTTGTAAATCCATAATATGTATCATGTTAAGCGCATAGAGCATTGCATAAGTATGCGCTATATAAATGCAATCCATTATTATTATTATTATTTGACGACGTCAGTCGAATAAAAAATTATCGGTCTAATAAAAATCTTATCAAGAATAAATGATCGAAAAAAATCTTTTTAAAAGCATCACCACTACGATAACAACAATAATACGCAGAAAGTCAAAGACACCCCCCACCCCTTTTCCCACCGAGTAAGGTGCTTGCCACCGACCCACCTGATCCACACACACATTCATGTACGTTAATTACAAAGCCAACAGCTTCCCAAAGGATTAGATAAAGCATACAACGCAAATACATCATCCTTTAGTTAGTTTTAGTAAGACTTTTACGCGGCACTTGCTAAGCATAAAATCATAATAATATTATAAGTGTCGAAGATTAGAGATGCTACGAGATTGTGACAAGCACGAAAATGAGGAGGAGAAAATAATATTATAAGGACTATAGAGATATTATTATTATTATATGTTTGATGGGAAATTATAAGGAGCAAACCCAAGGAGTTTAGAACTAATGGAGCCTCCTCTCTCTCTTCGCGGCGCCACGAGCAGTACGCCGCGGTGGGGATCAAATATGGCCGCCGACTGTGGGCTAAATCACGAACTGTGGCGTTTCTTTTTATAGAATCTTATCGGGCTGGGCCACATTGTGGGGGTGGGCGGGGTGGGGAAATGCACGCAAGGAAGAGGGGATGGGGCTGGGATTAAAGAGGAGGGGCGGGCCTTGGGAAGGGACGAAGGAGAATGGGAAAAATTAAATAAAAGAGAGAGAGAGAGAAAGAGAGAGAGAGAGAGAGAGAGAGAGAGAGAGAGAGAGAGAGAGAGAGAGATTGTGATCAACTGACGGGATGACGGAAAGAATGACAGGGAGAAAAAAAAATTAAATTCTGTGTGTGATACGAACTGTTCAAGGCAACTGAGAAAGCCCAGGGACTTTTCAATTATTTAAGAGTTTTACGTTGTATATAGTTTAAAAATCAAGAAGATCGGCAAAATAAGAAAAAAAAAACTTATGCAAGTATCATAAAATTATCAAACATACATTATAAAGATCATCTTTCATGACGCTAAAAGATTCAATTATAATAAGAAATGATGAAAAATGTATTTTTTAAAACTGAATTGAAGATATGACTGCATGATTCTAGACATGGGTATGGAGCTCTTATTGCGAGTTCGGTGTTCGGCAAAATCAAAGGCGTCGATGAGGAGTTCACACCTGGGCGTGATTCCTTTGTCGTAAAATCCTTGCGTTTGGAGCAAACGTTTACCTCGCATCAAGATTTAGAGCGGAGATGTGATCCCATGCATGAGCATGGATGACCCTTGAAGGTTTTTTGTTTGTTCAGTAAAGTACGATAGGGAAAGCAGCGTTTTTAGTCCCTTCACACTTCAGAGGGGGGTAATTTATAACGACTAGTGCAGTAAAATTTATTGTTGCTTTGTTTGGTTTATTTTTGAACAGCGAAATCTTAAGTGGACCGGAATTATAAATTGTGGGATCTTAGGTGAAGACCACAACAATAGATCTAGATCCAAACCGAGTATAGTTCTATCAAACAAGACTCAAACTCTTATCCATCCACCCTACACCCTCCCTTCATCTGATATGGTTTAGTGTTTCTTTAAAATAGAAGATATTCATCACTATTATTGTTGGGTATTGATTTCATATTTTAATGGAGCCTCTCGATCGATACCTACATTTAGACAACAGCAGACTTACAGTAATTAGGAGATGAAGGGGCTTAAAAACATAAAACAAGTCTGACTGACTGATTGAACTCAACACGCTAAGGTGTGTTATATGATTAGTAAATATATATATATGAAAATAAGATACATATAGAAACCTAGACTCTAGATTTTGTCCCGTCAAAATAAAGGTATGCTGCGCATAGCATCTAATTTACACACACAATGGAAACCAATATATTATACACTTTAATTAAAATGTTTAGTATGTATACAAATACACACACGCACACAAACACACACACATACACACACACACACACACACACACACACACACACACACACACACGAATAAGAACATTAAAAAAAAATTAAGTTTCTCGGTCTTTCTTCTGGGGTGTTGTTACAGTGTACCCCTTTCTGCCCGGGTTGGCCTTGGCAGGTGGCGCCGCAGCCAGCCTCTTATTAAAGTTAATGATCTAACTTGTGTCGCTGGGGGCATAAAAACACTTTCATTCAGATTTTTTTTTAAGGAAAACAACAGCTGTGAAAACTTCTGTCCACTGCAGCATTATATCGGTTCTTACACTTAAACACAACGCAGGTGGAAGGCATTTTTTAAATTGACTTGCCTAATCTCGGAATAAAACCATCTTTTTTATCTAGATTTCATTACGTGAGCGCAGCGCAGGTAGACCACAGTTCCGCCGCGAGAGAGGGCCCCTATCAGGCGTGCGGTGCCGCCCACAGAGCATCCTCCATTACTTTTTATCTCCTTGAGCAAACCACACCAGCACACCCGTTAGATCTATAACCGCCCAGTTCTACCAGTGCAAGAGCTTAACGAACTGGTCCACTCTAGAATGGGACAATTCATAGGTTATAAGTTAGCGATGTGGGGGGGGGTATGGGTATAAAAACCCCTTGAGAAAGAGAGAGAGAGAGAGAGAGAGAGAGAGAGAGAGAGAGAATGATGAGTTCAATGTTTCAATTAGGATATGCTGCTGATTTTAAGGGAAAGCAAGACCTTTGTCCCCATAATTGAGCTATAATATGTTTGATTTTAAACCCTTATTTTTGTATGAAAGAATAAATAGCGAAGAAAAAAATTACCGACGAGGTATTCGATGAATTAACATCTTGCGTTTATTCTCGAATATTGTTTTCAGGAGAGGTAGCCTAACTCTCACATCTTGTTCTCATGACCAACTTTCGATTCGTTACGGTTGTTAGGATTATTACTTGTACTTGTAGGCTTTCAGGTAGGTTTGGTTAGGAAAGGAAGTGCATTATAGAACGTAACACACGACGATAAACCGACAAAAATAGGATAAATTTGAATTTTCCTTGGCTGTTAATCGTATTTTATAACAAGATCTAATCTAGATCTCTCTCCGTCCCCCGCCACCAGTCCCCATCCCCTACTGAAAAGTTCCAGCTCTAACGGTCAACAGAAGTAGAATCTAGATGTAGATTAGTTGCAGCGGTGATAGAGATCTAGATCTAGATCTATTCATGAATCTTTCAGGATTAATTAGAAAGTGGCTATTCTCACCCGCCCGGAAGTTCTCGCAAGATCAACTCCTCCCCTCTTCTCTCTCTCTCCGTCTCTTTCTGAATACTGTCTATCGGTGTGGACGTTCAAATTGACCAAAACAAAGTTAAAAAATGATGTTAAAACACAAAAGTAAATAAATTTGGTTGTCTACAAAGATGCAACGGCTATTTAACTTTTCGAATCGAGCCGAACTATGCGGGTCGCCATTTTGTTTTGCCCGGAAATTCTCGCGCTACTCCTCTCTCTCTCTCTCTCTCTCTCTCCACTGCCCACAGACAAAATTGTACGCTTTTACTACTTTTAGTAGGCTACAATTGTAATGGAACGTTTGTTCACGGCACAGAATTCTACAATTTTTCTGTTATCACAGTGTAGAATTCTGTGGTTTAGGGTGAGCGCAAAATTTGGTGAACGCGCACCGGGTGAGAATAGCCACAAGACTCGCCTGCACTATTCTCACTCCGGGTGAGAATAGAGGTGGCCTTAATTTAGAATGTAGGAGTGTCGGTACCCGGAGTGTCTCATTTCCACACTCCTTCTACTAGATTCTAAATCCATTCATTTTTGCTCAGCTCTCTAACTTTTATGATGAAGTAATATATAATATGAGAAGGTTTTGATCAAGACCCGTGCTCTTGGCCCAAACAACTCTTGTGGTATGAAATCTGAGAATGACGTGCACATCACTACTAAACTGCCTAATTAAATCAAAATAAATGAACCTATTTTGATAATTCTTCATCTAAGGAATTATATGACGTGTGTGTATGCCATTCGTCATTTTTCCTTATTATATATATGATGAAGGATCCAAGATGCTGCTGTTGTAAAGTACAGCGTTCGTCACGTCTTGCGAAACGCAAGGACCATGATGACGAACGCTGTTCTTCATAGGCTGTTAATATTCTGCATGATATATTGCTTCTATTTGATGCGTTTCGTAAAGGGGGTTAAGGAAAGCCGCAATGCGTTTTTTACAAGGAAGAGGCTAACCGTACTTAATGACGGCTAGACTGGCAGTCTAGCCGTACTTAAGTACGGCTAGACTGCCTTCTTAATATGATGGCTTGACTGACCATTTACAAAAAATAGGCCTACTGAATTGTAAATATACATTTTTAGCGTGCAGTACTAAAAGTATTTGTATTTGAGACGAAACTAGGTGCCTTAATGACAGTGCATGTATTTTAAACCTCCTGTTTTCTAATGTTAATAGGGCCTAAGATAAGAAGTACGGCTAGACTGGCAGTCTAGCCGTACTTAAGTACGGGTAGACAGCCAGGCTAGCCGTACTTAAGGACGGCTAGACTGTCAGGCTAGCCGTACTTAATATTGATGGCTGAATTGTAAAAATGAAATTTTTAGTTTGCAATGCCTAAAGTATTAGTATTTCAGACAAAACCAAAAGGTGCCTTACTGACTTGCATGTATTTGAACCTGAATAATTACTAGATCTAGATCTAATGAGACCTGTGTACTTAACAGGCTTGAGTCGATAGGGCCAAACCTAGATCTAAGTACGGCTAGCCACTTCGTTTTTACAATGTGCCACGACACAGTGACAGTGGAATCAGGCACTTGTCAATTTTTGGGCATGTGGAGTTATTGGTATCATCTTAAAGGTTGTTCATTTGCCTTGCTGTCGATTAAACAAATATATATCCATTTACCTTGAATAGAAGTCGAGGTACTTGAGATTGAAGGAGGTGGGATCGCCTGGTTTCAGAAGTAAAATTAGCGAGTAAATGGCGTCAGAGTTTGGTGACTTTCTTAGCTTTTAGGAGTCCTGAGAAACTCATGCAGATTTACATTTGTTGTACTGTTAAACGTTTTTAAAATAAAAATCCACACATAAAAGTGTTTTTGAATATGACATACAAAACGTTGAGCCAAAAAGCAAAAATTCGTTTTAAAAATTCCAAACTGACCGAAAAATGATGATTTCTCGGATTTCATTATTTTGACGAGTGCCTGATTTCACCATGATCCCTCACAAATATTTTTTCCACAGGTTCCGCTGGCACTGATGAAAAACCTGAGTAGCAAATGGCAGCTCCAACTTGACACTGGGGTCCTGGATGTGTTAACGCATGCCGAGATTTATAACTTGTGAGATGTGATTGGAGAGCAAACTTTCAAGTGCAGCCTTTGTGCCTTTATAAGTAACTGAAAGTGAGGAGAGATAAAAGAATAAGAGAAAATGTCAGAGAAAGGAGGTGGAGCGGAGCCCAGTCGGGGAACGGCCATCACCCTCTACAACAGATTTGCCGAGCTGATGCTGGTGGTGGGGCTGGACGAGAACACGGGTCTGGTCCCTGTGAAAAAAGATAATGATGTGAGTTTTGTAGTCTACTTGTTTATATTGATTGGTTTAATTCCAGCTTTCAACTCCCCATTTTTTTGCTTAGATGATGATCTATACCAACATTATCATGTTCACTGATATGTGATTGATTTAATTGCAGCTTTTAATTCCTTTTTTTTTTGTGATATACATCAAGACTGTCATATTCATTGATTAAATGTTGAAGATTCTGTGAATTTGGGTGCTGAAGGAGGTACAAACCGACTTCGTTTTCATTTCTGGCTCTATTCACTATATTATGCACATTAGAATAGACCTTTATTATTTATTCATAATTTTGGTTTGTACGGTTAGTCAGGAGAACAATACATTGTGATTATTGCAGTTTCATTGCAATATATATGTGTCATTTGGCAAAAACAAGATTTGTTCAATAGATCTATGTCTTTGAAGAAAAAAAAACATGATACAATTTTATTAAGCTCCTTTGGCTTTACTTTAGGTCTTGGAGAAGTAAAACTATTCGAAAAGATATACTGTGTAGCATGCACATAGCGAAATTGGCAGGATGACACTTTTCAAAAGTACTAATTTTGCCTTGTATTTGTTTTAAATTTAAATACTCAGAAATTTCAGTGAAAAAAAATTGGGGACCTGGAAATCTGTTTACTCTATTCGTGTTTCGCTATGTTATATGTTTTCGCAAAGTGCATGCTATTCTGTATTTTGGGGGAAATTTAAATATTCAGCTCAATACGTCTTTGATCCCTCAGAGTGACGATGGTGAAGACTTGTTCAGCCGACTGTTTTATGACGAGTACGAGGCTCAAGTCCTGGCTGCAGTGTCTGCCTTCAAGGCTTTGGTCTTCCAGCCGTACCTTATGGAGGATCCGAGTTATCCCCCTTCTCCTGAATCACTGGCGGTGATGAACAGTTTTCACACTTTGAGGTATTGTCTCGGGCAGATCTGATGTGTGTGTGAGCTTGTGTCTCGTCGTGCCTTATGCTAAGCTTTCATCCCTTTAGATAATGTCTTGGGTGTGTGTGTATCTTTGTATGTGCGTGTGTACGTGCATATGTGTGTGCATGTGTGTGTATTTTGTTCATTGATATGTGCCAGAAGGTTTAATTCAAATTTGCATTGTTCTTGCTATTTCTTATCCTAAGGCAGAAGTTTAAAATTGTAAATGAAGAAAGGATTATTTTGAATGCTGTATACATAACTTCCTCGGCCTTCACTTTTCCATCTGTTACCCTCACTGAACCTATTTTGCACTAAGTACTTTTGGGGAAATTTCTTTTTGTACCATAGTTAAAACCCGAACTTCAGCCTTATAAATTTAAAAAGCTTCTTATTTCGTCATATTTTCCAGAGTTCCAGATTTGAATCTTGTGCTGAAATTTTGATAATGGGTTGGGTTATTTTTGTCGAGACACAGATGTAGTTCTGATGTACCTCATCTACATCCTGGTCCGTGGGAACAAGTGTTGCACGCTCCTCGCCCTGCATGGGTAGAAAGTGTTAATTGTTCTGCAAGTGCTGTAAAACTGGTACTAAAACATAATATATATATAGAGTAGTCTCCGCCTAAGATCCCTCCGCTTAAGATCCGGCTGTTTTAAGAAAACAGAATTTTTACTATACAAAAGTCACCACAAAGATCTCACTCTGATTCACTCTGAAGGTCTACATTCGGCTAAGATTCCGCATTTCAGATCATATTTTGCGGAACAAAAACCCGGGCGGGCACAGCCGATCAATCGAGAGTGAAAATTTGAGATCAATAAACTGTCCGTCGCGTCAAAGATCAGCCACTCTTTGCTCGCCATATGTCATAAACCCACCAAGGGGTCATGTCAGTTCATTTTAGAGTGAAGGGAGACCATTTTATCGATTGTAAGCCTTAACATGGGTCACCATAGATTCTTCCCTGGGTTCGTCTGTTAAGATCCCGGTTCGCCTTAGATCCCGCATATCCTTGCTCCTGAGCACCGGGATCTTAGGCGGAAACTACTGTATATATATATAAATATATATATATATATATATATACAGTCAAACTCCGTTCTACCGTCTACCTTGGGACGAGCATGAAGTTGGCGGTACATCGAAGTTTGCGGTACATCGAAGTTTTCATGTCCCCTGTTAAATACATGTAGCACCGACTGCCCAACGTCAAGGGAACTTGTTTATAATCACTAGATGAAGTACTGAGTTTTCTTCCTTTCATCTGTCACTTACCCTTGAGCGTGAGTCCTCGCTAAATAAAAGCCCCTGGGGCATTCGCCAGCCTGTAAGTTATGCAGCTGATATCTGGTGACGAGATGGCGGGGTTCCTTTAAAGTTTCTCCAGGCGGCAGCATTCAAATTTAACTCCAGTTTGGTTTCTTTAAAATATTGGCCAAGGCCTATTTTGTAAATGATAGCATTTTCATAATCAACTCATCAAATTTAGTCCGATTCACGCAGGGAGCGAAACTTGATGCTGAATTACAAAATTGTTTTATTTTTATTGTACTCTTCTACATTACTCAATATATTGTATTTGCTTGCAACGCACTACATCATTGTAGATCTATCCATATTGTCTGAAATCTATGCAAGACAAAGGTGCGGAGATAGGATGGGCAGGGCTGGAACAAATTAGCGAAAAGCATTTGGTCTAGACCTAGGCCGCAGAGACTTGTGTGTGAAAGATTGTCAAGCAACTACCCGGTGGATGTGCTATGTGCCGTTTTTTAACCTAGTATATACTGTGTGCTTCTGGCGGCCAGTTCGCAGGCGGTACAACACGGTAAATTTGCAGTAGCTTAATGAGGGCTGTACAACATAGACAGTAGGCGGTTGGGGGTGTAAAGTCGCAAATACTATGTTTATTTATATAATGGATTCTTTTCGTACTATGGCAAAACCTGGCAGTAATGTAAGCCGGGATGGTAGTACAATGGGGAGCGGTACAACGACGTTTGACTGTATATGTATATCTATATGTATTATATTTGTGAAAGTTCATGATTTTAGTCACCTAAAACTTTCAAACCACTTAATTGTAGAATTTGAAAAAATTAATAGTGGTACAGAATCATTTAAAGGGTGCACCGTTATATTTAGGAGTCTGAAGTCATTGTAGTTTAATGTTCAGTTTTTCATTAGTTTCATTTAGATCTTATCTTGGGAAGGTCCGTCTTCTTAGACACCATTGTCAACAAGTGAGGCCTCCATTCACATGCAGTGCGCACTGATCCCACAATGACTTGACGACCGATTTTTTTGAGGCCGTTCATCAAACTGGATACCCAGCTATTATATATATAATATATGTATGTATGTATATATTCTCTCAGGACCCAGTCTATGGAACAGCGCCCCCTACAGGGCAAAAAGTCTTTAGCAAAGCGGACGTTGTCGATAAACCCAGCAGTGATCAAACAGCACCTCAGCAAGAATGAGTCTTCCAGCAGCTCCTCTAAGAATGTCATGGATCTCCCACTCTCCAAAGACACCATAGAGACCATCACCACCTTTTGTTTCCCAGGTTCGACTCCCTGTTCCTTTGATGTCTATAGGCTCCTCCCTACTCCGCGCACTGATCTGTATACATACTCATCGTACTCATGTACACACACACACACACACACACACACGCACGCACGCACGCACGCACACACACGCACGCACGCACGCACGCACACACACACACGCACACACGCACTCACACACACGCACGCACACACACACACACGCACACACACACACACAACCTCACACACGTGTGCATGAACTCACGCACAACCACACACTCAACCACACACACGCACACTCACATATAAACATTTGCACACATAGCCATATACATGCTCACACACACAGCACTTATCTATTTTTTCAGTGAGATGTAAGAATTGGGCATAAAAACTATATCTCTGTTACATAACGAAACATGAAGAGTTATATTGCTTATAGAGAAATCTTACTACTTCTAGTCTAAGTCAATAACTTGTTTCTCAGATTTTGATTACCTAAGACCAAAATTACTGAACTTTAAATCAGTAAGATTTGCATAACCGGGTGCTGGGTTTCCTTAGATTATTTCCCTCTAGGCGTAGTTCAATGAAGACCATTTCTGGTCTTTCAACTGATTCTTATGCGGATACTGCCAGAAGGGGAACAATGAAAGTCTTAGTTTTCTTTTTAAAATTCTTTTTGATAACTATATTTCTGAGCTATTTATTGCTTTTTTCTGTCCAGCACTTTTCTGAAAAGTCTCCATATTGCTTGTCTTTTCTTTTTCTCACAAGGTAAATGAGACTTTGCCTTTGTTAGTTTTCATTTCAATCCTTTGTGTACACGAAACACACTTTCTGTAAGACTTACTCTAGCTAAATAGATACATTTTTGAAAACTTGTTTACTACCTCTTCTGTGTGTGTGGGGTTTTTTTTCTCTCTCTATTTTTTCCTCTGTACTCGATAAAGGTCAGAGGAACTCTGTGAATAATTAATGGGTATAGCAGAATTTTACCATGGAATTTAGTTCTCTATCCCTATTTATTTGCTATTTGTAAACTTTGATCTTAAGTTGTTATCTCCAATGACCAGTAATTATGAATTTTTTCCAACAGAAAATATTTATGTGTTCAGTTTGCCAACAATTATGAGTTTTTTCCAACAGAAAATATCTTATGTGTTCAGCGGCCAACAATTATGAGTTTTTTCCAACAGAAAATATTTATGTGTTCAGCGGCCAACAATAATGAGTTTTTTCCAACAGAAAATATTTATGTGTTCAGTGGCCAACAATTATGAGTTTCTTTCCAACAGAAAATATTTATGTGTTCAGCGGCCAACAATTATGAGCTTTTTCCAACAGAAAATATTTATGTGTTCAGCGGCCAACAATTATGAGCTTTTTCCAACAGAAAATATTTATGTGTTCAGCGGCCAACAATTATGAGCTTTTTCCAACAGAAAATATTTATGTGTTCAGTGGCCATCAATTATGAGTTTTTTCCAACAGAAAATATTTATGTGTTCAGCGGCCAACAATTATGAGCTTTTTCCAACAGAAAATATTTATGTGTTCAGTGGCCAACAATTATGAGTTTTTTCCAACAGAAAATATTTATGTGTTCAGCGGCCAACAATTATGAGCTTTTTCCAACAGAAAATATTTATGTGTTCAGTGGCCAACAATTATGAGTTTTTTCCAACAGAAAATATTTATGTGTTCAGCGGCCAACAATTATGAGCTTTTTCCAACAGAAAATATTTATGTGTTCAGCGGCGAACAATTATGAGCTTTTTCCAACAGAAAATATTTATGTGTTCAGCGGCCAACAATTATGAGTTTTTTCCAACAGAAAATATTTATGTGTTCAGTGGCCAACAATTATGAGTTTTTTCCAACAGAAAATATTTATGTGTTCAGCGGCCAACAATTATGAGCTTTTTCCAACAGAAAATATTTATGTGTTCAGCGGCGAACAATTATGAGCTTTTTCCAACAGAAAATATTTATGTGTTCAGCGGCCAACAATTATGAGCTTTTTCCAACAGAAAATATTGATGTGTTCAGCGGCCAACAATTGTGAGCTTTTTCCAACAGAAAATATTGATGTGTTCAGCGGCCAACAATTATGAGCTTTTTCCAACAGAAAATATTCATGTGTTCAGCGGGCAACAATTATGAGTTTTTTTTCCTTTTTTTTTTTTTTTTGGCCTGCAGAAAACGTTCATGTGTCCAGAGATAAGCCGGACAGCAACATCCACTTTCTGGTGTTGACGGATGTGTCCGGGAGCAAGACGTACGCTGCCTGCCTCACGTTTTACAAGCCGTACAAACTCGAGAAGGTGGGTCATGGGTCACAGACATGCTGCCCCCCCCCCCCCCCCCCCCCCCCCCCCCCCGGAATGGTGGCACTGACTGAAGTGGCTTTAGGTCGTTCCCAAAGGGCGGACATTTCTCGTTGATGCACAGTAGAATTGTAAAAGGGCTGATTCATCATGTCACGCTCATAACTGTGCCTACCCCCCGGGGCAGTTCCACTGACTGAAGTGTCTAGGCCGTTCCCAAAGGGGGGATATTTCTCCTTCATGCATTGTAGAATTGTAATTGGGCTGATTCATCAATGTCACGCTCATGACACTGCCTGATCTACAACAGGGAACTGCTGCTTTTTCTTTCCTAATCCTTACTATTGTCATTTTCCTCTACTCCTTGTGTATGTTTGTCACACTCTTGTGACCCGCTATTTCCGGGGTGCCTTGAAAGTCGAAACAGACTTTGTGCTGTTGAAGCTAGAGAGGTGAGCAGATAAGCCCGATTCCCTGTAAAGACTGTAAAGACTTCTCTGTTGACATCCACCCTTTGGCGCTCATATGACCTTATGCAATTGCGAGCGCCGTAAAACCTCTACTGAATAAAAAAAGCAAACGTGCTGTTTCAGGCGTTGTAATACTTGGCACAACAGAACTACGATAGACTGCAATGCTCACAAACTTCTCTTGTTTGGAACAGAAAGTCTTTAATTAAATGCGGGTGGTTGGTGGGGGCTCTTGTGTGGTTAGCTCTTCCTTTTTTATCAAACATCTATCTTCCTGATCTCTCCTCCTTCTTTTTTGTGTTTGTTACTCTCTTGTAACTTTTGAAACACCTCTAATCTTAGGCTCTTATATGACCTTATTCTGTTGCAAGTTGCCGTAAAACTCTTACTAAAAATAAAAAAAGAAGCCTGTAAGTGCCAAGAAGTGGTATTTGAAGGTGGTTGATAGTGGTTTGATATTCACTCTCTGTGTGAAAAAGCGCTAAATAAATGCTAGCTATTACTATTCTGATTATAATCGTCATAATTTTTATGACTGCTATTATTTATTCGGAGAAGATTGTAAAGCACTTGGAGCTTGCTGTTGAGCAAAAATTTACGCTATGCAAATACTAATATTACTATCTATCGTCGATATTATAAGTATTATGATTATTTTTATGATGATGATTGTGATCATGATTATTATATTTGATTATCATTATTGATATTATATAATAATTATTGTTGTTATTGTTATTATTATTGTTGATATTGTATATTATAATTATTGTTATTGTTATTATCGTTATTGGTAATATATATTATTATTATTGTTGTTATTATTATTATTATTATTATTACGATGATGATGATGACGATGACAATGATGATGCTGATGCTGTATGTGTCCAGAAAGAGGACGGGACCATCAGCTACAGCATGCAGTCCCTGGTCGGCGTGGAGGCAGACGTGAACACGGCCTTCTGCTACATCCCTCAGTGCTGTGTGCTCGTGTCCAAGTACCCCTACTTCTACGCCATGAAGGAATGTCTATCCTGGTACGCCAGCTTTGCTTTTTTAATAATCATAGCTATAGTCAAAAGTAAAGTTGTTCTCCCGCATCCGATCCGGACTTTGGGGATTGTACAGTGCATCTTTCGACTGATGTTGAGCGAGGCAGACACATATAGAAATAAAGGAAAAATAATGACCTATCTCAATGTGTAGCTAAAAAACGATCATTCTTCAGCCTGAGATTTCAATTTCGATTATTACAAAAGTAGGTGTGGTTTTGAAAGCTGGAAGTGAAGAACCATGAAACATGGCTTGTGGTCCAGTGTTGGGAGTAACACGAGTGGGTGGTCAGTGGGTGCTCTGGTGTGTTTTGCTTTTTCTTTCCTATCAAACATCTTTCGTCCTTATCTCCCCGTCTTCTTTTTTATGTTTGTTACTCTCTTGTAACACCTCTAACCTTCTGGCGCTCGTATGACCTTATGCAGTTGCGAGCGCCGTAAAACCTCTCCTATTACTAAAACACGACTCACGGTAGTGAAAGAGTTAAAGACCTGTGTTTGAGAAACACTTTGTGTATGTTACTTTCTGTCGCAAGCGGTGTATGTAAAGCACAACAATATTTTCCTCTGTCGCCAGCATGATCAGCCACGTGGAGCGAGACCTGGAGGAAATGTTTCAGTTCATCAAGGACTTCACCTACACCATGACCATGGCCCCTGTGCCCCCTGCAGGCAACGTCATAGTGGTAATGGAGCAACACGCTCTGATTTCTAGTTTCTAAAGTGTATTATAACCCCACCCCCCGTTACCTCTAGTGTGTTTAAAGCGATGGTTCCATGTAAGACTACGCATATGTCGCTTTGCAAAATGGCATATGTGAAGGGTGCTGACAAAACGAGTTGTTTCTGGGATTCAAGCCTTATTGAAATAGATACATCATGCTTATTATAGCTGAAGTTTTTACAGTTTATATGTATGAAATAATAAAAGACTTGTTATATTTAAAGAATGTGGTATCAATATGAAAATCTACAAATTTGACCCTAATGTCGATTTTGGCCAATGTCTCCATTTGTGGACTGCGGGAAGTAACTCATTTTGTCGGCACGTCTCACATATGTCGCTTTTCAAAATGGCATATGTCGAAGTCTTACACCAAACAGTCTTTACTTTACTTTTATCCTTTTACTTTTATCTGCTGCTTACTTATACTTTTGGGTGTCGCGGGAACTAAACGGCCAAAATTGAAAATGAGATGAAATTATGTCAAAAAAGAATGGTGGAATTTTTCCAGTTTGTTGAGCTTTCCATTTATGTTGTGAGGTAAAGTTGATTCACAGATCTCAGAATGCAGTTAGTTAATATACTGACAAAAATATTAAAAATTCTTCTGAAAACATGTGAACTTAAAATCCTTTTGGGTTGTCCTAGTTTAATTCTTTTTCATTGCCAGAGTGTTTTTGAATGATAAGTATAAGAGAAGTCCCCAGCCCCTTTTTTTTTCAACACTAACCTCTGTAAGTAATTGTATTGAATGAAAATTCTGCTCTGTACAGCACTTCAAACTTTCTAGGCTTTAACCACTTTCTATATTGACATTATCTGATAATCAATATTATCATAATTGCCATGTGGACTAATATATACTTTCATATTAATTGTTTTTGTTTACAAATGGACTAAATGAAGATTCCTAACTTTCTTTTTTTTGTGCCTGCCCATTCCTATTAAATAGTAATAATGATAATAAATAATAATAAATAACATTTGTGTAATGCATAAAACCCCGCTCTACAGCAAACTCCATTCACTTTACACTGTACATTAAATAACACCTCTGTGTTTGTAGATTCCTAACTGTTTGCCGTGTGTATGTGATGTCCGCAGGAAATGAGCATGTACAACCTGTCTGTGTCGATGTTCCCGTCCGAGTGGCCCGAGAAACCCGTGATTGATCTCCCTTTGCACCTAGTCTTCCTGTGCCTTCCGGTGGACGACATCCTGCGGGTGTTCACCGCCATCTTGTGCGAGGAGAGGATCGTCTTTGTCAGCTTCAACTACGCTCTTCTCACAACAGTTATGGAGGTGGGTACTGCTTCTTCTTCTTCTTCTTCTTCTTCTTCTTCTTCTTCTTCTTCTTCTTCTTCTTCTTCTTCTTCTTCTTCTTCTTCTTCTTCTCCTTCTCCTTCTCCTTCTCCTTCTCCTTCTCCTTCTCCTTCTCCTTCTCTTTCTCCTTCTCCTTCTCCTTCTCCTTCTCCTTCTCCTTCTCCTTCTCCTTCTCCTTCTCCTTCTCCTTCTCCTTCTTCTTCTTCTTCTTCTTCTTCTTCTTCAAGAACAAGTAGAAGAAGAAGAAAAAGAAAAAAAGAAGAGTACATAAATGATTCTGTCAACAGAGAGTCCCTACTTCTGTTGGCTCCGTCTAGGTCTCACAGGTATGTTTTCCTTCTCTTCTCCCCAGTGTTTTCTGTACTACGTGCTGCCGTTCATATGGCGGTTCACATATGTGCCCATATTGAGTGCGTCATCACTGGAGCTCCTGGAGGCTCCAGGCACATTTATGATGGGTTGTCATTCTAAACATCTCGACGTGGTGGAACAGGTTAGTGGTGGTGGTGGTGGTTGTTGTTGTTGTTGTTGTTGTTGTTGCAGGTGTTGGAACAGGTTAGTGGTTGCAGTTGTTGTTTGTGATTGCTGTTGTTGTTATTATTGTTGTTTTTGATGTCACTCAAAGCTCCTGAAGATTCTGGAACAAGTTGGGGATGTTGGTAGATGTTGTTGCTGGTATTGTTGTTGTTGTTATCGTTGTTGTAGGAATTCTTAACCCCCCCAGGGCGGTGCCTCTGACTGTAGTATCTTTAGGCCATTCCCAAAGAAGGGACATTTCTCATTCCTATGCACAGTAGAATTGTAATTGGGCTGATTCGTCAATGTCATGCTCATAACTGTGCCAGATCTACAACAGGGAACTGCTGCTTTTTCTTTCCTAATCCTTACTATCGTCATTTTCCTTTGTGGCCCGCTATTTCCGGGATGCCTTGAAATGTGAAACAGACTTTGTGCTGTTGAAGCAAGAGAGGTGAGCAGAGTAAGGGCTGATTCCCTGTAAAGACTTCTCTGTTGACATCCTCTCCTTGACGCTCATATGACCGTATGCTGTTGCGAGCGCTGTAAAACCTCTACTAAATAAAAAGGGATTCTTAGTGTAGTGTTCCCCCGCGTCTATGGCGAAGATGTTAGACCCCTTTGCCGTTTCTCTCAAAAGACACGAGTTCAACTTTCATGTTGAGAAGTTTGTTATTGGTGCTCATATGACTTTATGCAGCTGCGAACGCCGTAAAACCTCTACTAAAACTAGACTGAGAAGTCTGTGTTATCAAGTATCTGAGTACTTCTGCCAGAGTGGAGTCATCCATTCAGCCAGGGTTTGCTGTTGCTGTGACAGGCAGGATCAAAGCAGCCTACCCCCTGAATGATCTGACTGACGTCTGTGATTGATGTAGCAGTTAGGCACTTCACTGTCGTATGCAGGGAACCTTAGTGAGAAGAGTTTGCCATCACAAGGCTCATATAATATAGTCAAAACACTTGCCATCAAAAGCAAAGGCTTTGGGGGGAAAATCCAAAGAAACAGGGTGGTAAACACAATGATCGTACATAACAAGATGGTTCACTCTGACAAAAAATTGTCAGTAGAAGTCCACTCATTGCTTCAGATGGCGCTGCAGTTTTCAAGCTCTCTTTCGTTTTTCAAGAAGAAGAATAGGAATAGTTCCTCCTTGCATGCGCAGATCGACTGTTGTTTGTCAGCTGTTCGGGTTCGTTCATTGCAGAGTTTTAGTTTTTAAAAATTTTAATGACCTCTCGCCTCTCATCCTAAAGTCAAATTAAACAAAGAAAACAGGTTTTTTGTTAGGGTAACCATTTTAAAAAAGCGTTCTTCCGAAATTTGAGTTCTTATTAATTCAAAAACTTGTTAGTTTCACTTTGATTTTTTTCACTCAAATGGGGTAACTTTTCGCAAATGGTACGCTTTTTCGAAGAGGGCTCCCCTGAATTTTGAGGACACTTTTTTAATTGGCTCAAAAAGAGGAGTAAACCATCTTGTTATGTCCGATCTTTGGTAAACATTGCTGGTCGGCGAGATGTGATGGCAAAGTATTACATTAAGGAGTATCTCATTCTTTCTGCTTGGATATGTTAGCCCTGACAGGTAGAGTCAAAGCCCGGCTCTAAAATGATCTAAATTGTGTGATTTGAGGGGG